ACTCAATTCAATTTGACTTGAAGAGTAATGCTTAATAGCAGTAGGAGCCGCTGTTTTTTAAAAACCACCTTTTATATATATATATATATATATATATATATATATATATATATATATTCTGTTCTCTTTGTGCTTATATATCTTATTCGTCAAACTCGTGGCGGACTAAGTGACGTCAATTCTCTCTCACAATGATCCCTTGCGCCAAAACCTAGCTCTAAATGTAATAATTTTAGATTGATACGAATTGATAATGCAAATAGATACATGCTAAACTCTTGACATATTTATGAAAACAGAAGATGCTAGCTGTACCAGATAGTTTGAATCCAGCCTCTAAAACACTGTTTTTCAAACTGTGGGTCCTACCCTTCAGTGGGTCATAATATAAATAAAATGGGTCGCGACCAAAAACAACAAAAAAAAAAAAAATGAAAAAATAAGCGAGAGCAAAGTGCAGAATATAAGCAACTCTAAATGTTGCATAGCATTCATAAATCATCGCTAGTTTTTCACCGGACTAAGCTTTATATATATATATATATATATATATATATATATATATATATATATATATTCTGTTCTCATTGAGTTTATCTATCTTGTTCTTCAAACTCGTTGCGGACTGAGGGACGTCAATTCTCTCTCTCAAAGATCCCATGCGCCAAAACCTAGCTCTAAATGTAATAATTTTAAATTCTGTGGAATAGAATCATAAATAGATACATACAATTCCAAAATGTACGGATTATATGAAATATGCATATACATTTTCGATGCTAAATAAATGAACCTTTTCAACAAAGTTTGTCTTTGATTTATTACACATAGGTATAGTCTATCGCAATACAAAACGTGGTTCTTGCTGTAAGTCGCAGTAAAGAAAAAAAAAAGAAGAAAAGTTTGGTAAACGCTGCCCTAAAATATGAAATCGAAAGAAATTTATGCTCCCCTCCTGTTGTTAGACTCCCCCAACTTATTCGGCGCGGGAGAGTAGTAAGAAGTTGTTCATACACACACAAACAAAAAGATGTCGATATAAGTATCTCCAGATGTCTGTGAACTGCGTTCGTATTTTGGGTGTGCTCTTTCCGGGTCAGTCTTGCTATGTTTACAAACATATGGCAGTAAAGAGTAATTTCTGGAACAAACTTGAAACTGGACGATAAAATACATTCCTACAAAGAAGAGGTAAAAAAAAAAGAAACATGATGTACTAATTACTGAAGGTGATTATGTCAAAACCGTTTACCGGCACACCAATGTACAGATCTGAAAAAAAAAGCAGATGAAAGAAACTTATTTCAAATCTATTATATTCTTCAGGTGTAGACTAAATTCGGGCACAAGCGAACTGGAATTACGGCCGAGGTGTTTCAAGTTCGCATAAAAATAATATCATTGGAAAAGGCATGAACCCACTTCTTCTTATACCACGCTCTATCATCGGAAAGGTATGCACTTTGAATAAATATTTACGAGCAATGAATCTTTGTGAAGCATTCATTTGTTTTTTTTTTTTAATCATTTCATCTGAAGCAAGGCAATAATGCGACTAAGACGCAAGAGGACAATTGTAAATGAAAGAGAATGAGAAGACTTTAGAAGGAGTGGGAAACACAATCCTAAACAGGAAACAAGGGATAAACCCTTACTCCTGTTAAAAAAAAAAAAAAAAAAAAATGACAGTAAGTTTATTTTGTCTGGCACAAAACTGAAATCCACTTGCTTGATTCCATACGCATTCACGGCAGCTGCTGACCTGTCACTATCGGACCTGTCACTTGACTCCATAATTCTCTCTAATTCCAGTCATTATATTCAATTTCATGTAAATGCAATTGCGAAAAGAAATGGCTGTATCTCTTCACCCACCACCTATGGGTTAAATAGTAAGACAAATTTGTCTCTTCAGCTTGAGTTGACAACCAGTCTAGGAGAAAGAATACTCTGAATTCCCAAACCTGGATATAAAGAAAACTTGTCTGTGATGGTAGAACTTTCACCAATTGCGATGAACAGATGTTACCCCAGGGAGTCCCCGTGTCTTCAGCGTCTATTTGGGATTTCAACTCAGCCGAGACGCCGTGGTGCATACGATCCATCAATAAAGATGCTGGATAAATGGAAGGATTACTGTACCGCTCCAGCAAGTACCAGACTCCTCTTGCTATCCTCTACCTTTCTAAGAGCCAGCCCAGGACGAAAATGGTGTACTGCTGTTATAGATGGGCTGGAGCTGCACAGTCTTCACTTTCTAGTCTTGATAGGTCGAAACAGCTGTCAAGTGCTTTCTGTATTCTGTTGAGGATTCTTCTAGACTCGCTGAATTACGATAATGATTATTCTAATCCCCTAAAAGTCTATCACTTGCATATCCTTGCATGACCCAGTTAATGCTCTGCGATGGAGCACCTAAAGGGAAGGAAGACGTTGCTCTTGGGGCACAACACGTTGGGTTTGAATAATTGGACGAGTATCACCACGGAATTTGTGAGTAGAGGCGCTATATCGAGTCTAGACTATTTCTTCTCCGTCACCGAGGCCCGTTGGTTCTGTGAAATGACGCTTCGATTCACGGTCGTGGATTCGCATTGCTGATGAGTGCCAAATAGGACGAAACTGCTGTCCAGTGCTTTCTGCATTCTCCTGAGAATTCTTTTAGAGTCGATGAATTATTATAATGAATATATATATTCCGACGGTTCAGCTTATAAATGAATTATTATAATGAATATATATATATATTCATATTCATACTATAATGAATATATATATGTATTCGATGAATTACTATAACGAATATCAAATATTCCGACGGTTCAGTTTATAAAACACTGAAGTTGATTTCGACATACCATTGAAATGAAAGTTAATTTCATTATGATTCAGTTAAAAATTTCAGTTCGTTCGTTTTATCCTTGGTTTGGTTTACAAGTTCATGTTTGACGTTTTAACTGATTGTTTACAGCATTTAATGGGTTTAGAACTTCCGGGATAAACTTGAACTTTAAATCGGATTAACTTAAACATATTTTTTTAATATCCGAAAAAATATTTCAAAATCATATTCTCTTGTAAATATTTCTTTTAAATAGACCAAAAATATTTTGTTTTATTATTTTTCTGTTTAAAGAAGGCTGAAGTATAAATTACACCACAAACAACTGGACGAAACAGCAAAGCGGGATCTCTTTGTGTCTGTCTTTAACTTAAAAAATAATTTAATTAAAAACATTTTTTGTTTGAAGAAAGCTCAAATGTAAATAATTGCTCTACAAACAACTGGACAAAACAGCAAAGCGGGATCTCTTTGTGTCTGTCTTTAACGTAAAAAATTATTTAATAATAATACTCTGTTTGAAGAAAGTTAAAATTAAAAAGAAACTTACTGTATAAACAACCCGTAAATCATTAGGCGCCGGACCAAAGCACCACATAAGCATGCATGCAATCTCAGATTTTAAAATTATATATATATATATATATAGTCTTAAGGTGTGCTATATTTATGGGATAAAGTGCTTAATATCAGAGATAGAGCGTGTGTAAATATAAAAGTGAACATTGAAGTCAACACTTAGAGGCGACAGGCTGTTTCATGCTAGACGTCAGGTGGCCTGATGATTGCGTTTAGCATGAAACAGCCTGTCACCTCTAAGTGTTGACTTCAATGTTCACTTATATATATATATATATATATATATATATATATATATATATATATATATTTTATATGCGTGTGTGTGTGTGTGTGATAAAATGGTTGCAATATTCGGTAGGTTATCAATAGACTTTTAACTGCATGCGAAGCATTTCTCTTAAGAATTAGTATCAAGAAGATTGAAGTGGCACACCAACCTAAGTCAATAGCGAATTATGTAGGTGGTGTTCAGCACCTCCTCCATGTCAATTACCGTTGGGCATAAAGAAAATAAATGTACAAAAGTAACTCAGAAGCAAAGTCATCAATCGACGATGTGGGTGAGTAAGCCCTTAGACAAACCACTCTCCCATAATTACCACCTAGGTGGAAATACCTAGCCCAAAATGATTACAGCCGCTGTCAACCTTGACAGAAACACACGTGCGGGCAGGCAGGCTCTCTCTCTCTCTCACACACACACACACACACACACACACAGACATATATATATATATATATATATATATATATATATATATATGTGCAGGTATGTAGAAAAATAGGAAAGAACACGTTAGGTAAATAATCCGTAGTAAGTACTAGTATTTTTGTTTTTATTTTTAAAAAACAGTGCTCCATAAAGAAGTAGAGCTTAGATTATAATTATTTTTATTTTATTGTTTAGTATTGCCTCCAGGGCAATAGTTTCCGCTATAAACACACACACACATACACAGAGGCATATACCTATATATATATATATATATATATATATATATATCATAATTATTTTTTTTTAAATATGATTCCGTCGCTACATAAGAGTTCTCATATTTCAAAAACGAGAGTCGAAAACCATCAATATAATTATTAAAATTAAATTGAATTAAGGTAACAAGCCTTGTTTCATCCTCAAGCGAAAATTTAGGAAACAGGGCTTGTTACTTTAATTCAATTTAATTTTAATAATTATATTGATTTCGGCTCGTTTTGAAACCTGAGAACTTTATTATTAGCGAAGGAATCATATTTAAAAAAATAAATATGATATATATATATATATATATATATATATATATATATATATATATATATATATATGTGTGTGTGTGTGTGTGTGTGTGTGTGTTTATAGCGGAAACTATTGCCCTGGAGGCAGTACTAAACGGTATTCAACGAAGCTAGAATTTACATTAAGGTTAGCTGATGTCTTTAATTTGTATTGACTTCCCTATGTTTCCAAACTCTTTTCTTTTCGTTCCTATTCTTCGTTTATTTTTATTCATTTTTTTTTGTTTTTCTATCCGTCCGCCATTTTATCCATTCACGTCTTTCTCCTCGCCATGTTTTCATCATGGAGAATTTTTTTTTTCTTTCAGGATTTTGTCTTTATTTATTCTTCCGGTTTTGTTTGCCGTCCTCGGCAATTTTTCTCTCCTTCAATCTGATCTTCCCTTCTTTTCTTTTCGAATTTCACCACGAACAGTTTTATCGCTCTCGTTTTTTGCTTTCGAAGTCAGTCACGAATTGTTTTCTTTCTTTTATTTTCGAATTCCGTCACGAACCGTTTTATTTGGCTCTCTTTTCTTTTCGAATTCCGCTACGAATTTATTTTTGTTTTTGCTTTTATTTTCGAATTCGTAACGTACAATTTTATTTTTCTTTCTTCGAATATCGTTATGAATTGATTTCTTTCTAGTATTTTCGAATTCTGTCACGAAGAGTTTTATTTTTCTCTCTTTTCTTTTCAAATTACTTCATGAACCATTTTATATGTCTTTCTTTTCTCATCGAATTCCCTCACGAACCGCTAAATTTGTCTCTTTTTTTTTTGAATTTGTGACGAACAGTTTTATTTTTCGGTTTTTTTTCTGTTCTAATTCGACTACGAACATCATTCGCTCTTTTCTTTTAGAATAATGTCACGAATTTTCTTTCCAGAATTTTCGGATTACGTCACGAACTGTTTTCTTTTTTCTTTTCGAATTCGTCACGGACAGTTTTACGTTTCTCTCTTTTCTTTTCGAATTCCGTCACGAACTGTTTTATTTTTATATCTTCATCGATCATATCTTTACTAGGAAAGGCGTTTTTGGTTTTCTCCACTGCACCCACTAATTGTTAATTTCTTTGTGTTTGTCTTTGATGTTCTTTCACTATTTTCTGAATACTATCAATTTCTCTTCAAGTTTAATTCCATCTTCTTTTCTTTTCTTTCTTATTAAATTGACGTCTGCTTCATTCAATTACCCACCTCTTTTTCACCCAAATCTTTATTTAATAATTCCTTCTTTATAGTCTTCCTCTTTTCTTTATTTCCCATCACAATTTATATTTTTCGACTAGGCCGATATTCCTTCTTTCGTTCTTTCTTTCTACTTCACTTTTCTTTCCTTCTTTTTTGTTTCTTTTTCTTCTTCTTTTGCCGTTTTTCTTTTTCTTTGATTCTCCTTGCTTTCTTTCTTTCTATTTTTCTTTCTTTCTTTCTTCTTTCTACCTACTTTCTGTCATTCTTACTTTTTCTTTCTTTTTCTTTTTTCTTCTTTTCTTTCCAGTTAAGTATTTTCTCCCTTCTTAATTTCATTCTACATTATTTCCTTCTTTCTTTCTCTCTTCATTCTTACTTTTTCTTTCTTTCTTACGTCATACTTTTCCTTCTTTCATTTTTTTCTTTCTTTCGTTTTCTTGTTTTCTTTTTTCACCTTTATATTTTTATTTCCTTCTTTCTTTCTTCTTCTTTCTTTCTCTCTCTCTCTCGCTCTATCTTCAGTTTTTCCTTTCTTTCATACTTTTTCTTTCTTTTTTCTTTCTGCTCTTTTGCTTCTTTCTTTTCTCTCTTTTTTCTTCTTGCTTTCTGTCTACTTTTTACTTTATTTATTTCTCCCTTCATTCTTACTTTATCTTTCTTTCTTTCTTTCTTTCTTTTTCTTACTCTCGTTTTCTTTCTTTCTTTCTTTCTTTCTTTCTTTCTTTCTTTCTTTCTACTTTTTCTTTACTTATTTTTCTTTCTTCTTCTTGCTTTCTTTCTATTTCACCTTCTTTCTTTCATTTATTTCCTTCTTCATTTTTTCTTTCTTTCTTTCTTCTTCTTGCTTCCTTTCTTCGTTTTTATTTTTTTCCCCTTGTGTCTTTCTTTCGTTCTTCATTCTTACGTCTTTTTCTTTTTTCTACTTTTTTCCTTCCTTCTTTCTTTCTTTTTCTTTTGTCTTCTTGCTTTCTTTTTTCTCTACTTTTTCTTCTTTTTTTCCCTGTTTATTCTTACTTTTTCTGTCTTTCTACATTTTGTTTTCTTCTTTTATACTTTTTTCTTCTTTCGTTGTTTTTCTTTCTTTCTTCTTTTCTTTCTACTTATTTTTTTTTCTTTCTTTCTTTCTTTCTTTCTTTCTTTCTCCGTCTATCTGTTTTTCGTTTTCTTTCTTTCTTTCTTTCTTTCTTTCTTTCTTTCTTTCTTTCTTTCTTTCACTTTTTCATTGATTTTTCTTTTTTATTTTCTCCTTGCTTTCTTTCCTTCTACTTTTCCTTCATTCTTTCTCTCGTCATTCTTACTTTTTCTTTCTTCCTTTCTCTCTTTTTCCTTCTTACTTTCTCTCTTCATTCTTACTTTTCTTCCTTTCTTTCTACTTATTTTTCTTTCTTCTTTTTGCTTTCTTTCTTTTTACATTCTTACTTTTTATATCTTTCTTTTTCTTTCTTTCTACTTTCTTTCTTTCTCTCTTCATTATCACTTTTTCTTCTTTTCTTACTAGTTATTTTTCTGTCTTTCTTTTTTCTGAGAGAAGACAACAAATCCTGAACAGTGAACATGTTTTGATGTGCACACGAAACTACGTAGTAGACATGACTAAACCAACAGCACTCAGCTAAGTGATAAACTTCTACAAATTAATTCAATTAACGCTATATATCCTAACCTTTTGATATCGAGCACTTTATGACAAAAACTTACCTTCCCAGAAAGCTTTTTCACCCTGAAAAAAACTGTCGAAGTACAATTGAAATGCACCGAAATAAAGTTGCATCTTTGTAGTGAGTAAACTGTTTTTGTCTATATGAAAAAGTTATAATATATATATATATATATATTTCTGTGGTGGGGTATTGTAATTAATTACACTATTTACTTAGTTCGGACTGTTGTTCGCAGCTTTGTTGCCATATTCACGACGTTTCGGCCGTTGTACACGCCGGCCTTCTTCAGGTGATTGGAATTTCACACTGAAACCTTTAACTCGTCCACCAGGGTAGATTGCTCTAATTCCACGTGACATGCCTCTTCCGGATGTATCCGTATCAGTTATCTTCCTTTAATTCAACTCTCCAAGTTTTTTTTTTTCACATCAGATGTAGACAAGTATTTAACTAACAACGATTCGGATGAAGTCACTGGATTCAACCAACGCTTTTATCCACTAGGCCATGTGCCCTCAAATTCTAGTTCCACGTGTCATGCCTCTTCCGGAAGTGACATTATCAGTTATCTCTCTTTAACTTCAAGTTTCATTTTTGTACACGTCAACTGTAGCCAGGTATTGAACTCACAACACTTTGGGTCAAGACGCTGGATACAACCAACACTGGATTCAACCAAGGAAAATCACTGGTCGGCTCATTTTATCGCTTCATTTTTTTTGAACAGCTCTACTGTCAACGAGGCTCTGTTCTTTGGACGCCTGCTTGATCACAATCTCTTTGTAGACCTCAAATAGGATTCATATACTCGATCCATTGCTAAAGATGCTGGGAAAATGATCGGTTCATTTTATCCTTCATTTTTTTGAACAGCTCTACTGTCAACGAGGCTCTGTTCTTTGGACGCCCTTGATGCTCTTTTGACCTCAAATAGGATTCATATACTCGATCCATTGCTTGCTGGGAAAATGATCGGTTCATTTTATCCTTCATTTTTTTGAAACTGTCAACGAGGCTCTGTTCTTTGGACGCCTGCTTGATCACAAGCTCTTTGTAGACCTCAAATAGGATTCATATACTCGATCCATTGCTAAAGATGCTGGGAAAATGATCGGTTCATTTTATCGCTTCATTTTTTTTGAACAGCTCTACTGTCAACGAGGCTCTGTTCTTTGGACTTGATCACAAGCTCTTTGTAGACCTCAAATAGGATTCATATACTCGATCCATTGCTAAAGATTGGGAAAATGATCGGTTCATTTTATCCTTCATTTTTTTTGAACAGCTCTACTGTCAACGAGGCTCTGTTCGAGCTCTTGTAGACCTCAAATAGGATTCATATACTCGATCCATTGCTAAAGATGCTGGGAAAATGATCGGTTCATTTTATCCTTCATTTTTTTTGAACAGCTCTACTGTCAACGAGGCTCTGTTCTTTGGACGCCTGCTTGATCACAAGCTCTTTGTAAACCTCAAATGGGATTCATATATACGATCCATTGCTAAAGATGCTTGGAAAATGATCGGTTCATTTTATCGCTTCATTTTTTTTGAACAGCTCTACTGTCAACGAGGCTCTGTTCTTTGGACGCCTGCTTGGTCACGAGCTCTTTGTAAACCTCAAATGGGACTCATATATACGATCCATTGCTAAAGATTGGGAAAATGATCGGTTCATTTTATCCTTCATTTTTTTTGAACAGCTCTACTGTCAACGAGGCTCTGTTCTTTGGACGCCTGCTTGATCACAAGCTCTTTGTAGACCTCAAATAGGATTCATATACTCGATCCATTGCTAAAGATGCTGGGAAAATGATCGGTTCATTTTATCGCTTCATTTTTTTTGAACAGCTCTACTGTCAACGAGGCTCTGTTCTTTGGACGCCTGCTTGATCACAAGCTCTTTGTAGACCTCAAATAGGATTCATATACTCGATCCATTGCTAAAGATGCTGGGAAAATGGGAAAATACTGTCAACGAGGCTCTGTTCTTTGGATTTTATCTTTGTAAACCTCAAATGGGACTCATATTTTTTTGGGAACAGTTCATTTTATCCTTCATTTTTTTGAACAGCTCTACTGTCAACGAGGCTCTGTTCTTTGGACGATCACAAGCTCTTTGTAGACCTGGATTCATATACTCGATCCATTGCTAAAAGATGCTGGGAAAATGATCGGTTCATTTTACCTTCATTTTTTTTGAACAGCTCTACTGTCAACGAGGCTCTGTTCTTTGGACGCCTGCTTGATCACAAGCTCTTTGTAGACCTCAAATAGGATTCATATACTCGATCCATTGCTAAAGATGCTGGGAAAATGATCGGTTCATTTTATCGCTTCATTTTTTTTGAACAGCTCTACTGTCAACGAGGCTCTGTTCTTTGGACGCCTGCTTGGTCACGAGCTCTTTGTAAACCTCAAATGGGACTCATATATACGATCCATTGCTAAAGATGCTGGGAAAATGATCGGTTCATTTTATCGCTTCATTTTTTTTGAACAGCTCTACTGTCAACGAGGCTCTGTTCTTTGGACGCCTGCTTGATCTTTTTGGATTCACGATCCATTGCTAAAGATGCTGGGAAAATGATCGGTTCATTTTATCGCTTCATTTTTTTTGAACAGCTCTACTGTCAACGAGGCTCTGTTCTTTGGACGCCTGCTTGGTCACGAGCTCTTTGTAAACCTCAAATGGGACTCATATATACGATCCACTGCTAAAGATGCTGGGAAAATGATCGGTTCATTTTATCGCTTCATTTTTTTGAACAGCTCTACTGTCAACGAGGCTCTGTTCTTTGGACGCCTGCTTGATCACAAGCTCTTTCAATGACCTCAAATAGGATTCATATACTCGATCCATTGCTAAAGATGCTGGGAAAATGATCGGTTCATTTTATCGCTTCATTTTTTGAACAGCTCTACTGTCAAAGGCTCTGTTCTTTGGACGCCTGCTTGGCTCTTTGTAGACCTCAAATAGGATTCATATATCGAACCATTGTTGCTGGGAAAATGATCGGTTCATTTTATCCTTCATTTTTTTGAACAGCTCTACTGTCAACGAGGCTCTGTTCTTTGGACGCCTGCTTGATCCAGCTCTTTGTAGACCTCAAATGGGACTCATCCATGGTAACGATGTTGGGCAAATGGTCGGCCTATTCTTTCGCTCCGGCAAGTATTCGATTACTTTCGTCATGCTTTATCGTCACAAGAATCAGATTAAGCCTGAAATGGAGTATTGCTGCCATGTCGAGGATGAGGCTGCCCAATCCTCCCTTTCCCAGCCTTGGGTTTTAAATCTTTCAATGTGATCTTGTGGTCGGGGCTGGGAGGCTCAATGTGGCAGACATGGCTAGTCTGTCGTTACTTTCATGGCCCAGATCAGCTCCATTCCTTAGTTCCTGCTCAGACCTTTGCAGCTCGGACACGCTGTTCTATTTTCACCTTCACTTCATCCCTATTCCAGATGCAAAAGAGAAGTTACACTGAGACAGCTTCTTTTTCTTTCCAAGAACAGCTACATTGTGGAATTGACTCCCGTGTGGGTGCTTCCCTAATGACAACATTCTTAGCCTCTTTATGCCAAAGGTTAGTTGTTATCTATCCTCATATTCACGTATTCCTACTCCTCTTTCGTTCCAATCACACAGCTTCATAATTATTTTAACTCGCCGGAGTCGATCCTTCAAATCTACAAATCAACCATTCGCCCTTGCCTGGAGTATTGCTGCCGTATATGGTCCGGTACCCCTTCTGTTTGCCTCGGGGTTCTTGATAAGATCCAGAGACGGATATGCAATGTAATTGGCCCTGATCTGGCATCTCGTCTGCAGTCGCTCTCTCACAGACTTGCCGTTGCTTCCCTCTGTCTTTTTTACAAATACTTTCATGGTAACTGCTCCGATGAGCTGCTTTCGCTGGTTCCCAGATGAATTTAAGCGTTCAACTAGGCTGGCATCTCGCTCTCCCTATTTCATTGTCGAAACTGTTAAATGTAGCCGTCTCTTCTACTCCAATAGCTTCATGTCTCGCACTTCTCGCCTGTGGAACTCCTTCCCCTTTTCTTGCTTCTCTGATAGCTATAATCTCCAACTATTCAAATGTAATGTCAATCGACGTCTCCAGATGCCGTGATCTATCCCCTATCTTTCTCTTCATCCTTTCCTCTATCACTCATCTTTGCTCTCACTCCAACTCTCTGTAACTCTTTGCGTGCTAGTAGCTTCCCGCCTTGCTTGGGGTGAAATGCTTAAAGAAAAAAAAAATAAGAAAAAACTGTAGTTTTTCGTTGGCCGAGTTAGCTCGGACATTAATGCGGCTGTAACGCCAACCATAACGCTCCTGCATGAAAGCCATAAGGGTGACATTCTGTGTTTTAACATAGCTGGTCAATGTAGGTGGTTACTGAGCAACCAACCCGTCTCGCTCAATGGTAAGGTGTCCAGCGCAGTAGGTACTTGTTTTACTCGCCTGCAGTGACCCGAGAAGCGCATTCCTCATTCGCGTAAGATCGTAAGGATGGGTCGATAAAGCTGTGATTTAGTTGGATGTTGTCGCAAAGAGATATTAAGTATAGCTCTCAGCATCCGAGTTTAGGTTCCATCGAGCTTAGACTCAAGGGTTTTAGCTAAGGTCCAAGCAGTGGCACCCGACATTAACACCGCCTTCTACAGTGGCTCGAAAGAATCTCCTCTTGAGCTTGTCTGCTAGATCGGATTTCCAGAAAACTCAAACACCACTGTGTTGGGAAAGACTGGGTCTTCATCTCAGCTGCGGTTTGGAAAAATTCCACGGGTATTTAATATTGGCGGTGTTAACATGTTATTCAGTCCACTAGCTCATAAAGCACACATTGAAACAGGAATCCTCACTGCTAGCTGCAACGGCAACCCTATAACGACCATCATCTATTCGCCAACAAACTCTACCGACGAAGAAACGGTTACACATTTAATTATATTCCTCTACCTTGATTGGCTCTCGAGCCTAGTACTAAGTAAACTTTAGTAGTAAGCAAAATGCCTGAACTGCGAATGACTTGAATGGGGCACGATAGTGGCCCTACAATATCAGAAGGTTAGTTTATCTTTAATGACATATCAACCTCTTGTTGGGTTATAAATGATGTTTCATTAAGACAGATTATATATAAGGGTGTTTCATTAAGACGGATCAAAGTCAGCAGTAAATAAATCAATGTTATTAGTGAAAATTTTATTTATTTCTCTATTGAATCATGTTATTTAAGTCATGGCAATTATGGGTGAAAAATAATATCGTCCAAATGTCCGCCAAATCTGAAAGAAAAAGAAAAAAAAAATCATTGGACGCTTAAACTTAATTCACATTTAAAATCGGTCCAAGTTATTGGAACAGACTTTGTAATGTCGTATATAAGGCATACAATGAGGAAATTAATTGGTAGGTAGATAGAAGTCGTTTATATATTCGAGTCATGAAGCAGACATTCGGGATATCTGAAGGAGTAATTTAATGGCCCAAGTAGGAACAATTCTCGCTTTTTTTTCCAGGCCCACACGTGCGATACAGGGATCGGAGTCGATCTTTTTTTTATAGAAAATTAGTGTAAACAGAGAGTAAATGGAAATAAAACCTATTAATCAAATTTTTCTTTTAAAAGATTAGATTGTTTTCTTTCATTCATTCGTTAGTTCTCAGTTTGTTTATATCTATCTATCGATCCATATATATATATATATATATATATATATATATATATATATATATATTTATATATATATATATATATATATATATATATATATATATATATATATATATATAACTCTCTAGCTATTCCCCTCTCTCCTCCCTGTCTCTCTCTACATATATATCAATCTTTTCATATCTATCTCAATCTATTCATACCTGTCTATCTATCTAGTGATCTCAGCCTGTTCATATCTATCTATCTATCTATCTATCTATCTATCTATCTATCTATCTATCTAGGTAGCTAGCTAGGTAGCTATTTATCATTCTCTCTCTGTCTGTCTCTCGATATATATATATATATATATATCAATCTGTTCATATCTATTTATCTATCACAATATGTTCATTATCTATCTCTCTCTGTATATGTATTCGTATCTATCTACATATATCTATGTCTCTCTCTGTCTCTCTCTCTCTATATATATATCTATCTGTATATATCTATCAAAATATGTTCATTATCTATCTATCTATCTATCTATCTATCTATCTCAATGCGTTCATATCTATCACTATATGTTCATTATCTATCTCAGTCCGTTCATATCTATCTATCTATCTATCTATCTCAATGCGTTCATATCTATCACTATATGTTCATTATCTATCTCAGTCTGTTCATATCTATCTATCTATCTATCTATCTATCTATCTATCTATCTCAATGCGTTCATATCTATCACTATATGTTCATTATCTATCTCAGTCCGTTCATATCTATCTATCTATCTATCTATCTATCTATCTATCTATCTATCTATCTATCTTATTTACCTGAACTCTACCTATATCTACCTTTCGACAATTTTCTTTTATCCTAATCTTTATTCTGTCTCTCCACATATATCCATCCTACCGTTATTATCGTTGCCCCACCCCCGTGCCGCCCCACTCGCCCTCTAGCTTCCAATTTGCTTGACGTCGGGGTTGCTGTTTTTGTGGATGTCAAAATATTTGCACAGTTGGATAAATAAGCCATTTCGTGCGCCCTTCCCTTTCTTTTCCTCTCCTCTTCAATCCAACCACCCACCCACCCCTCGGGGGCAGCGTTCCCACTTCCAGGATTCCCTTTCAGACTCTCCTGAGTAACACGCAAAAATCTGCTTTTAATGTAGAGACACGCGCGAGCGGGCGCCACACGAACGCCTATTGGTATGGCGTCGGTCCTGCTACAGAACGGAACGCCAGCATCTTCTGTTGCAGGTCCGCAAGCAAGCGGGTCGAATAGTCCATAGCGTGAGCCTTAACAATAAATAAACCCCAAGCATACAGACACGCGTTCGTATATACAAGCAAAAACAGGGAAAAAGAGAGGCATAGAAGAACTACGGCCACATCACGTTGAAACACCAGCTTCCGTGAGATCACTGAAGTTAAGCAACTTAAATTTTATATATATATATATATATATATATATATATATATATATATAAAATTTTTTTTTTAATTTAGGCTCTGCTTATGTATGGAGCAGTGTTTTTTAAAAATAAAAACACTAAAGAACTCCGGATTAATTACCTAACGTGTTCTTTCCTACACAAACACATGTGTATATATATATTATGAACTGGACAAATTCCGATAATTATTTTAAGACATTTTTATACATTCTTTTTATAGATACAAATATTTAAATAAATGCTCTGTTTATAATAAACAGTATTAAACGACATTTACCGGCCTGAATATCCGAGAAATTTTCATAGAATATATTCCGCCTGCGACAGGAATCGAACCTGTATCCTATACGGAAACGTCATATAGCCTTAACCGATTGGGCCACAGAGAATCGTTCGGTTAACAAGGTCGATTTTACTGCTTTTAAACTACAATCTTCCATGATTTTCTCACGTACATTCATATCTGCTCAAAGCGTATCCAAATGTAAACAAATGACGTCACGCATTATGAAATGTACCAAGTCCGACACTTATTTTAAGACATTTTTATGTTTATACATTCTTTTTATAGATAAAAATATTTAAGTAAAAGCTCTGTTTATAATAAACAGTATTAAACAACATTTACCGGCCTGCATTTAGATTTTACATTTAGATACGCCATAAGCAGATATGAATGTAAAATCGACCTTGCTAACCGAACGATCCTCTGTGGCCCAATCGGTTAAGGCACGTCAGGCTATATGAGGTTTCCGTATAGAATACAGGTTTGATTCCTCTCGGAGGACGAATATTTTCTATAAAAATTTCTCGGACATTCAGGCCGCTAAATGTTGTTTAATACCGTTTATTATAAACAGAGTATTTACTTAAATGTTTGTATCTATAAAAAGAATGTATAAACATAAAAATGTCTTAATATATATATATATATATATATATATATATATAGGGTGTCCCCAAAAATTTGACGTCATTTTAAAAGCAATTACCTTGAAAACTACAAAGTCTAGCCCAATGAAATTGAACAGTTTAGGTGTTGAACATCATAAGTTTATTATGGCAGCGATTTCATAAGAGCTCAACATGTGCGCAGCCTGTAACACAGCACACGTCAAGTCGGTAGTTAAGCTCTTGCCAAACACGCTGTAGCATGTCTCCGGTAACATTATCCAGTGCGGAAGTGATTCTCTACTTGAGTTTATCAATGCTAGCAAGAAGAGTGGGGACATAGACCAATCCCTTCGATATCCCCATAAAAAGAAATCACACGGGGACAGGTCCGGTGACCGCGGCGGCCATTTCATCAGAAATCTGTCTTCATCTCCACCACGCCCGATCCGTCTCTCTGGCAGATTCTTATTGAGATATGTACGTACCGTCCTCGTCTATTAAATATAAAATCTTGATCTGTTTCTATACATTCTGTGAAATTTTGAGGTTATTTCAACAAGAATTGCCAAAATTATTGGCCTGCGAAATGATCATTCTTTCAATTTCTTTCTTGCTTTCTGGCAAGTTGTATTTAGGTTTAAGTTCTTGAAAAAAGACCCCAGTCTTTGGTGTGTTGACGAGCACTTTCGGTTGTCGTCAACCATCATCATATGCTTTTGAGTTTCACTAGGTAGCTTTTTTATTAAGGCCGTGTTGTTGGATTAGTTCATTACAATTCAGGAGGGGGCTGGTATTTATTATTTATAAGATTTAAAATGTTTATGCCGGTATTGCATTCTGTTTTATTTATGTTTTTTAATTGTGAAGGATTCGAGAATTTGTAAGCGTTTTTTACATTTGTCTTTGTAGATTATTTTGGTATTGCTAATTAGCATTTGTCTTATTTCGTAGGGTTTGAATCTGTTATTAGTGGTACAGTATGTTGTTATAAGGTGATTTCTTTATGGCGCTGGTGTCATTAAGATGGTCTGTAAGCCTACGTGAGAGAGTTGTAGTTGTGTGTCCGATGTATGTGTTAGGGTTATGCGTGAAACACTCGCAAAACGTGCATGTATATATATATATATATATAAAGGAAATATAGTGGTTCCAACGAGAGAAAAGTATATATTAAAAAGAAGGGGTGCCGCAAATATATATGAGAAAAATATATACTTTATATATCACGACACGTGTTTCTGGTAAGAAAAAAACCGTCTTCAGGTGAAAGTGGTTCCATATATATATTTATACATATATATATATAATCTAGATCAATATAGTCTTCATGTTCAATGGGGACCTCGAAATAAAGACATTCCAATGTTGGCAACCGAATTTTATTTATATTTATATATATATATATATATATATAAATTATGTAAAACAAAGTATAATATTTTTTCTCAATAAATCCACATTACAACCAAAAACGTTTTGGTGTTCTATATATATATATATATATAATATATATATAATATATATATATATATATAGCGTATATATATAAGAAAAGTGAGTGGTTCCATATATATATATATATATATATATAGGCTAGATCAATATAGTTTCAGACGTGGGGACACAAATAAAATCGTTCAATAACTTGGACCGATATATATATATATATATATATATATATATATGAAGGCTAAGGTGTGCTATATTTATAGGATAAAGTATTTATATCAGAGATATGGTACATATAAAAGTGAACATTGCATTGTGGGTAGACGTCTATTTAGACTATTTATATATATGGGTCAGTGGTGCATTATGGCAGTCCACCCACTATGACCTGTATGTATATATAAATAGCCGAGAGAAAAAAAACTCGTGGCCTGGCGATTGCGTCTAGCATGAAACATCCTGTCGCCTCTGAGTTAATGTTTACTTTTACACACACACACACACACACACACACACACACACACACATATATATATATATAATAACTTGCACCGATTTCAAATGGGAATTAATTTTAAGCGTCTAATGACTTTTTTTCATTCTTTTTCTTTCAGGTTTAACAACTTAAGTCTTTGGCAATTTCAACCAGGGAAAGACTAACAATCACACAACGTGTTAAAGTTATCGAAGCCTATTACGAAAATTTGACTTTCAAACAGAAATGCATTTTGCACACTTCGCGATTTTTTGGGTCAACATAATCGGCCAACCGAGAGTGCAATTGGAAAAGATGTAACGTTGTTGTGGTCGGGTTCAATTCCTGCGCGCGATGACGAAGAGAGGGGTCTGGATTTTCGGCGTAAACGAGCAAGCAATGATGTTTTCACATCTTCCACTGACCCAGTTTGTTTGAATTTACGAACAATTTCTCCAATTGCACTCTTGAAACTTTAACACGTTGTTTGATTGTTAATCTTTCCTGCCACCATAACAAGATAAAATATCTATATATACATATGTCTAAAAGACAACGCATCACAAAGGTCCAAAATGTCCTCTGCAATTAAGCTTTTTATTTAATTTTTATTGTGTTGGAACAAGTGCTTTCTTTTTTGGACATATAGTTTGTAGAGACTGTCCAAAATTTCTGTAATTTCTGTGCTTTCGGAATCTGCTCCTAATCGTAAAATAAAAAAAGGCAATAGAAATATGACATTATTTAATAAGGAAAGCTTTTAATTGCTGTTATAAATAAGATATATTAAAGAATTTATTGTCTTAAGAAAAAAAATTTGATGAATAATGGATTTTCGCAAGAACTGTTTTCATTATGTAAATATTAATTAGTAAAATATTTAAATCTCTTAAATTTCTGTATTAATTTAAGCCCTTTACCTAATATTATTGAAAACTATATTTATTAATCATAAGTGAAAAATCTTAATACAAATCATCAAATGGCCATATTTTTAAAAGAAATTTGGATTGTTTTTGCATGTGTATAAATGCGCCGATTTTTGTAGATACGGGAGACCATTCACGACAATATCAGACAATAATATCGATAACTATAGTAAATGTAAAGCCAAAATATGTAAAATTCAATAAAACATTAGATTCAGAGAATATTTTCCTATTTTTAAAAAATTATTGAGTACTTAGAAATTATATAAAAAAGACGATCACGTTATTCTCTTTCAGTTATTTTTACAGACAAAACCCCCGTAGAAAAACGTAAGATTCATCTCTCATCATGCTGTCAACAGGTTGTCATTATCTTAAATAAACGGCTATCGCCGTGTTACAAAATGCGTTTCTGTGATAATTTAAACTATATAAAATATATAATATTTGTTTCAAATATGATTAATTATACTTTAAATCAGCTAATGTACCCCAAATAAAGTTTCAGAAAATTATATTTGATATTTGGAACATTTTTTTTTAATAAAGAGGATTACATTGCGATAAAACGGCGCTGAAATAAGATTTTTTCCTAAAAAAAGCTACTTCAAGTTTATTTAAATTAGTTTTGAAATAGAGCAAAGTGTTTTGTTTATTGACAATATTAAATTTAATCTATTAAATTGAAGTTAAACTAAAATAAAAGCTTCCAGAAAGATTTTTCATTTTTAAGAATTAATTTTAAACTTTAGGTAT